TGAATCTTCTCTACGTTCTTAGAGTATATAGTATTCTCTAAAATTATCCAATCACTATTTCCTCCGTGTAATCTAGCAAAACACAATTATAAATTATTATTTTCTTTATTATTTTTTGAACTGCCTTATTATTCTATACTGAAACTACAAATATAACTTTTTAAATTAATATAATTTCTTTAAAAAAATAAATTCAGATTTTTGCAATTTGAATAATTTAAATTTATTAAGATTGAAAAATCTAAAGATAAATAAATTTTGAATCTCCAGATTAAATGTGCTATTCTCATTTTTCCCATTTTTATGCTTATGTCTGGAAAAGTTCATGTAAACAAGCCTTAAAATCATAGTTTGTTCACGTGTATACATATTCATTCAAATATATCTTATATAAAATGCATCAATTAGTGAAATGTATCTTATTGTGTAACATGAAAAATGATTCTAATAAATGCCTTTATATGTTGTTACATTTAATTTTTTTTTAAAGCGATTTAACAAAAACAAATCTGTAGACAATTTTAAATGCATTTCATAAGAAATATACAATATTTTTTCGTCATTTACCGTGCGTAATTTTTTTTAATTATTGAAAGATATCTGCTCAGAATATTGTACTAATAATTATACAGAGGAATCTCTATTTTGTAATATTTTTTTCTGACAAATTTTATAAAAAAATTGTCATCAATAAACGTTTATGTTAGAAAAATTTTATATTTGAAAAGACTTTGATTTTTATACAAAAAAATGAAATAAAAGCTACATTTATTTTTGAAAATAATAAATTTACTATTTTGAAGCTTTACAATTTCTAAATTATTTATAATTTATTATTAAATAATTATTATTATTTGAATACTTGGTTGAATTATTTTATACCTTTTTTATATTATATGTGTCGTTTATTTGTAAATAATTATAATGTTTATGTTTATATTATTTCCACTTCTAATTTAAATATTTATTATATAGTTCTGAAAGAATTCTCTAGAACCTATTTAAAAAAGCAACTTTATAAATGGGCCAATAAAATTATAATTTCCTCATTTTTTTCTTTTCTAACAAGATATAAATTTATAATTTTCTCGTAATCGCTTCCCTATTAAAATGTATCATTTCCTATTTTCTGATATATGAGTAAATCCAATATTTCATTATATATTGAAAAATAATAAATTATACACTTGAATGAGATTATTCGTTTGACATTAAAAATAGTTACGTAAAATCATAGTTTAAAATTGAAAGAAAAAAGATTCTTATTAAATCATTTTCTTTTATGAAATGCAAATAATAAATCTTCAGGAAAAACATCAAATAGTCCTATATGTTCATTTTGAGTTATAAAGTGATAAATAACATTGATTTATTCTAATAAAGAACTAAAAATTCACTTCTTAAAAATATTTCAGTGCTAATGAATTAGCTAAAGCAAAAATATTTTACTTCACTCTAAAAAGATTTGAACTATTTCTTATAGTTTTAACTTAATACAAATCTGATTACTGCGTTCGCTAGCACTTCGGAGGATGACGTCACAAGCTTTAACTCTCGGTGGCTAATCAGGTGCCAAAAATTTTCCAATCTATAGTATTCTTAATATGAGTACAAAATAAAGGCACTTACCTTTTCTGTGTTTTCTTCAGCTAAGCAGTATTGAGATGAGTATCTTAATAAATCTGAAACATTTATTTTTGCTACAATTATATTATTGCTACAATGTATAAAAATATGATTAATATATTTACATAAATTACGTTACAAAAGTGAGGAATCTTAACATCTGTTGCAGCAAGCCGCATCTCATTTTAAACTAAACTCAAAAATTTTTGAAATAAAAAAAGTTTTTTTTTTTTTTTCACCACCACAATTTTTATGCTTGGTACAAGAACATCGGATTCCATAATTTTAGCTTCTTTTTCTGGGAAAATCACTGTTCTATTTTTAGTTGCTTTTGATGTAGAAATCAAATTGTTTTTTTAATTCTGGGAGAAAAAGCTCATTTTTAAGAAGGATTGTTCAGGCGTTCTGAACAGTTATCCAAAATAATAATTTGCAAATAATTTCAGCGTTCTGATCCACAACCAATTTTACATAACAGTTTTCTTAAAATAGTTTTCATCATTGTCGTTTCTAATGGCACAAGCCAAGATCACTAGGCATTGCGAATTAAGTCAGGATATTCATCTTTCGTGTGACAAGAGAGCACAGCCAGAATGAAAGTACGGATGGATGGCAGTATCACTGCTTCGTGAGGCTATTTTTAAATTAGAAAGGAGGATGGAATTTTTTTCAGATCCCTGTACCACGGCTTAGCGACCGACCACAGGACCTTCGATTCCACAGATTTTAGAATCAAGTCTATCGCATGTGGAGTGGATCGTAGCAGAGTGGAGGATCGAACTCCGGACCCTCCGGAATCGATTCTCTACCACTAAGTTACCACTGCCCCGTTTTTCATATTTACACTTGAGAGTTTTCTGGTCACCAAAGGGTTCAAATTCTTGATGTTCATTCTTCTACTTTCACACACATTTAAGAGGGATGATTAAATGCGGGCTAATTTCTATCGACATTCCAATGCTTCAACAATAATTGCATTTTATTCGAAATGATTGGAAGCTTTGCTGTTTTCATTTTCTCTCTAGTTTTCGATAGCTATTTTCGCTTTTGATTTGTCGAAGTATAGTGTGGAGGTTGTGACTCAGGATTTGAAGATTCTTTATTTCTCCTCGCATTTGACGATTCGAGCTTTATTTTCCGGAGTAAGTACGTCATCTCTTAATTCAATAGCTGTTCGAAAATTTCCGTATGAGTCAGGAATACTATATAGAAGTAAAATAGTCATCAGATCATTGACGATATTAATTTATAGTTCCTTCAATTTATCCAATAGAATAAATAACTCATTTATATGGTCACTAAATAATTTTGTTTTGCTCCTTTTTGTGAAGTTGTCTCAGCACTTTTGCTTTTCTAGCTGGACCTTTCGATTCACATGTTTCCCTTAGCTTATTCCACAATTCTTGTGAATTTTTACAGTTTTTTGCTTCAGATGAATCCCCCAGCTTCATTGAAAATAGGATATCAGCTCAATCTTTTTTAACATTGAAAATCCATTTGACAATTGCATCAGCGTCTTCTCCTGGTTTCTTTTCGTTTCCTGCTGCAAAATTCCAGCGATCATTTTTATCCAAATTGCCTCCATTTGGAGAATTTTCTTTTGCGAGTTTTTCGATAGTCGGAGAAGTGATTACCATTATTGCTTTTAGGTTTGTGATTCAGCGGAATGCTTGTCTTCTCAGTTTTAAAAAATGGCGTCAAATTTTGTTTCACTGTGAGCTTTCTTTTTTCTGCACAGTCGAATGTGTTGGCCCATAGCCAATATTGACTGAACTGGCTCCAAACAAAGTTAGAAGGAACGTATTTTATTGTTAAACAGAGATATAGGTAAGCACCACAAACAGCTAATGAGAGCTGAAATATGAATATCATAAGAAAGCATACACCTAGAGAAGCTATGACATGCCCAATGGTGCAAAATAAGAACATCTCATTCGAGTAAATTGCATTTAATTCCAACACTTCCCTTACTATTAACGTTTTTTCCGACCTACAATAAATGTAATAGTAAGAATAAGAATGAAAATATTTTTTTACTTGAAATTATTATTGGTTTAAGAAAATGCTGATCTACTGTGAGTATATTTTCTTGATTTCAAATACAAATATTTTGAGAATCAGAATTTATAGAACAAAAATATATTTAGTCTGAACTTATTCTATTTTATTCCTCTAGTCACGCTTCTTTTTATAGAAGCAAATTTTACCCCAATCGCGATGCACAAGAATATAGTTAATATATGCTTATTATGTCATTTTTAAGCAACATATGTTGAATAACATGCACTTGCCGATATTATACTTACTAATATTGATAATATCATTTATTTACAAGCAAGAATACTCTGCATATATTCAATCAACTCTTAATACCTTTTCGTTAATAATGCAGTAGAGCCCCAATTATCCGCAAGTGCATTATCCAACAGTGAACTTTAGTGGAGAGATCTGCAAGAAATCCAAAATTATATTGCACGTGATACAAGCAATATTTAGAGGAACAACTAGTAGAAAAGCTTATGTTGAAGATATCATGTCAAATCAAACGTGAAAAGTCTATTCAAAAGTAAAAATAATTTCGAATTTTAAGAAAAAAGGTGCTTCCAAAGAAAAAAGCGAAAACGAGTTTTTTTTTTCCTTAGAAAAAGTGTAACTGTTCACTTTTATGAATGAACTTTTATATATGAACACTTGTATGAAGAATGTACGTAATATTTTCTTTACCATTCAATTTTCAGGGATTTAGACGTATATCAATATATGTTGAATGCTCAAAATATGTGCACATGTGTGAACGCATTTTAAAATTATTTTCCTTTTTCGATCCACCTTATTTTTTTAGTTTTTCGGATTATCTGCGATTTTTGTTAACCGCGGTGATCTTTTAAACTAATTTCTTGGATAATCGGGCAAATCTACTGCAAATATTTGTTAATAATGCTTAATACTTTTGATTTATACTAAAAATAAAATTAAAATAAAAGCGTTAATGTCGATACATTGTTGTTGGTGTAAATTTTCTAGACAGGTAAATAATAGGTAGATTCAAGTGTTTAATTGTTATAGAGTTAAAAAAGGTGTCCGGGCATGCAAAAATTTTATTCAGGAATGTATCTTGAAGGACTAACATGCCATACAGGACAAGTAAAATTTCTTTGATTCTTCAAACCCTGGTCCCGAAACATTTATTAACATAATGAAGTTGCCTCCACTGATAAAAAGTCTGTGCAGTTAATGTCTTTAATTCATTTTCTATATGAAAATAACAGATTCTCAGCTTTAGCTTAGATTAAAATTGCGTATATTTCTAAGAGTTGTAATGACAAATAATCCAATTCTTTTTTTCCCTATTTTACAATCTATTTCTCTTTTAGTAAAGGAATATCTTCTATTATTAATCTCCAAATGCCTGGGGAACATCCATACTGTGGAAATTCTTTAGATTCCTCTGGATTTTCTTACAATCCTCAATTATTCATGGATCACGATAGTAAGTATCTTTTATTCTATTCTCCTTTGTAGTTTCACATAAACCTGACGTTCCGCAGTGGACTGATCGTTAAGACACGGTTCCCAGCAGATCACCGAAGTCAAGCATCACTGGCTACGGTCAGTGTGCGGGTGGGTGACCACTTGGATCAGTCTGCGTAGGGACCGAGGGTGTGCGGTATTGGTCCTCGTTAAACTGTGCTACCGTAAAGTGCTCGACTTCGCGCGCAGGTCGTCGGGCTACCGAAGCGGGGGTGCCATCCCCTCCGCAGAGGATCAAAATTGTGATGGCATGTCTTCGGATCATCCTCCGGGATGCTTCCCAGACCGTCGCCAATAGCCCATTGTGACGTAAATTAAAAATCAATCAATCAATCATAAACCTGACATAACCTAAAACAGAATTCAATGCCTATAATAATAAAACAAAATGTTAGTGCGTAATTCTCAAAAAGTTGGAGCATGACACAGATCTAAATTTTAAGCTCTGACATCAAGGGAGTTGTTCAATTTTCTCCATTTAATTCACGGTAAATATTTCAGAAAATTTTTTAATTCTGTCTAGTGAAAGAAGTTGAAGATTAGATTATTGTCTAGAGTAAGAAGTTAAAGATTTATATAAATAGATTTTTTTCAACCGAAAAGCGAATTTTGGACATCCATTATGTTAACTGAGTCAATATAACCACACAAAAAATTTTTTTAAAGAAAAGGACAGAGACTAGATCATAGATGACGAACTCTGACACGCGCACCAGTAGGTGGCACGTGACAGGTATTTTAAAGTCACACAGGAGATATTTTATTCCCTTACATTTAATGTAAACAAAGCTTAAAAAATCATCTTTAATACTAAGGACATTAAAGGCAGAATCAGAAACAAAAAATATTTTAGATGCCATTTTGACATTTTCTTGGACTTTAAAGTAACTAGTGCTTCATCAACCATGAAAGTCCATGCTGTAAAGGGGATTTATTTAAAGACTGAAAGCAGGCACCTGAAAGCAATCCTCTGACACAAGGCTGAAGAAAAAGCTTGTCAAATTTTCACCTCTCTAGAAATTAAGAATCCTACTTTGTTATTAGGGTAGGCGAAAACAGTCATGTGACTGAAAGAGCCAATCATCATGCACCTGAATTTTAGTCTGACAATGCATGCCTAAAAGCAGGCTATAACACCCCATTTACACGAGGCCTGACAACAAGCTTGTGACGTCACAGGAAGAACGAAAAAAACCTCAAATTTTCCTAGCCTACTTTCAGGCAAACATTTTGTCGGGTGAAGACAACTTCGAGTCAGGCCGGAATTCAAGTGAGTGATGATTGTTTACTTTTTGCTTATCTTAGCAAAGTGAAATTTTTAACATCAGGAATGACAATGACGTAAGTTTGACTAGCCTTTTTTCAGGCTTGTGACGTCAGGAAACTGCTTTTTTTTCAGTTCTCGCATAAATAAGGGGTTAGGAATCGGAAACCAAGTTTCCGCTTTTCTTATGATGTCATTATACAACGCTTGAGTCCTTTTATCCTTGAGAGCATCCTATAGAATTAACAGTAAAATACCACCTTGGTTATGGCTTAAATGAACCTTGTGTATTATTGAAAGCAACAAATATAAAGGACTTGATTGATAATGTTAAATAACACTAAATGGAAATCAGTTTATCTAATTTTTTACTGTAGTATATGACTATTAGCAATAAATATATGCAGTTTGAAAAGTTGAAAGAGGATATGAAGCGCAAAAAAGACAATTAATAATATAATTTAAATTTAATTGGTACTTCTAATATTTCATACTATTAAAAACATCTAGCATTAATTACTTTAATTTTATACCCATTTTAGGCTTCCATACCTAACTCTTATATTAAACAGAAATATTTGAAATTTTATTGATTCGATTTTTATTTGAAGCTATTTTAAAACAGCAGATGTAGTTGCATTAATTAATTCTACAGATTGTAAACAAAGCAATGGTAGGAAGAATATTTTTAAAAAGTAATAAAACAAGTGGCTCAATGAAAAACTAAAAATATCAAACTTTTAACTAATTCCCCGGGAAATCAGCCATATCTGGTCTACGTACGCAATATTTGGTCCAAAAGTATAAAAATAAAAATAAAAGTATACAGTTGAAATAGAACGGTTACTTGATAATATCCTTAACAAATAGCAGAAAGTTATTTTACTGTGTGAAAGATTTTTAGAAAAAGCAGTTCAGCGTTTTAATGCATGTCCAAGAAAAAGTAACTGCTTGGCTATTTTATGAAAAAATAGATTTATGTAAGAATTAAAAAAATTTATCCCGCCCCCCCCCTGAAAATATTTTTTCAAGTATTCAAGTATTTTCTTATGTTTTTTTGAAATATTTCTGTAAAAGAATGTCCTTTTCTAACTGTCGAAATGTAGGATTGTCCAAAAAAAAATTATTGCCCGTGCAAAAGTAAACGTAATCTGAAGTAGAAAAATAAATATATTAAATTTAAAACTGATAAACAATTACATGGTTTAAATTTGAATCTCTTATCTGTTGTATTTCAGTTTTCTTCTACAATTTCCGGTGGTAAGTATTCCTAAAAAAACAATCATTTTTCTACAAAAGCTCATTTGCACTATGCAACTGCTTTAAGAAAAAGCTTATTTTTTTAAAAATGCTCTTTATGGCCACTTTTACCACATTTTAAGATATTGCACTATTATTTATTTAAATTAGAAAAGCAATCATGAACTCTCAAAATAATCTCTCTTCTTCGAGCTTAATAATTTTCCTTTATTGTCACTAGAAATTAGTTGCACATATTATCTGTATTATAACTATAACGCTAGTCAAAATATTGCAATCAAACTTTCAAAAAATATATTACTACTTGTACCCAAATTGCAACACCAAGAAACACAAGAGATATCACAACGAAATTTATTTTGTAGATAACATGTTGACCAAGTATCAAATGATTAAATTTATAGACTTCTGTGAAGTGTGGCTCCTACCAAAATCACTAGCCAGAGTAGACACCATTGTTGGAGATCACCGCTGCTACACACCTCGGCATTGATTCAAAGAGACTTTGGATGTGTTCTTGGTGCACAGCAAACCAAGCAGCTTCCACAGATTGCCAAAGTTGATCTGGTGTGGCATCTGGGTCAATCGTTGAGCAATCACGGACCACATGTCTTCCATCGGCGAAAGATACGGAGAGCGAGCTGGCCAGGGAAGCAATTCAATCTGGCGATTGACGAAGAGCCCTTGGACAATGCGTGCCACGTGTGGTCACGCATTATCCTGTTGAAATACCGCTGTGGGCAAGCTCTGAAGGTAAGGAAGGACAACTGACTCCAGCACCTCGGAGATGTAGCGCTGACTGTTTAAAGTACAGGCAATGCGTATTAGAGGAGTGCGAGAGTGATCCAATACCGCCCCATACCATAATACCCGGTGCAGGACCAGTGTGGCGGTACATAACGCAGCTGTTCAGCATCCTCTCTCCACGGTGTCTCCAGATTCGAATGTGACCATCGTGGTAGAGCAAACAGAACCATTTGTTGCAGACAGAAGACAATTTCATTCCATTCTGTCGTCCACATCCTTCTTTCATCATACCATTGGCGGCGGAGACGTCTATGGTTCTGCGTCAAGGGTAGACGAAGCAATGGACGTCTTTCCGACAGACCACTCTGCTGTAAACGGCGTCGAATGGTACGCACAGACACTGAATGATGTGTTACAGACTGAATGTGCTGTGCTATGGTTTGTGATGTGACTGAGCGATCAGTCACTGCGCGCAATTCGCCTGTCATCACGTGAAGTGGTGCACTGAGGTGGATGCAATCGAACACGTCGATCCGTCGTAGCCTCCTGCATCCAACGATCACATTACAATTGCTTGGTTTCGTTCAACACGACTACTGATTTCCCTGAAAGATAATCCACAATCTCGGTAGGCCACTATCCTTCCTCCGTCGAACTCGGATACTTGATCAAAAGATGATCGCTGTTTTCTACGAGGCATAATTGATCGTTTTTTGAAAAAACCACAAGAAAAACACAATTGCCGAATCGTCGAAATCTCCAAGGCTTAAATAGCGCTTTGAAGTGGCGCCATAGGAGCGCGTAATGTGCATCTGCGCTGAAATTCTAATCATTTGCATATCTCAGCTCCGCTAATGCATGTTGTAAATTTCATGTTATTTGCATGCTTCCTTCAGGGTGTTACATTACGGTGGCCAGTAGTATATATATATATATANCTAACAGTCAGAAAAGAAAGTAATTAATACTATTTTTCCCCAGTTTTTCTTTGAAGAAAAATCTTACTACTATTTTTTATATGTATATTAATCTGCGATTTACTTAGTACCGCGAATGGATAGTTTCACGCAATAAATAACCTACAAATTTTTGCTACCACTTTTTATTTTGCTTCATTAATCTGGAGTTGGATTTACTTATCCGCGTTGACAACTTTACGCAATGAATACGAGTTGACAACTTTACGCAATTAATAACTTTAAAAATTTGGACTACAACTTTTAATTTATATTTTATATTTGGGGATACATTTACTTTACAGTACGAAATAAGTACGCGTAAATTACCTAACGGCAGCCCAAGTGATAATTTGTGTAAATCTGTTTCTATCAATGCCAAGTAGAGGTGACATTCATTTTTGTTTTTTTGTTTGTTTTTTTTTTTTGTTTTTGCCATATCTTCATTTTGATTTCACCCTGAACGATTACAGCCAACGATTTCATAGAAATTCAAAAATTTCTTTGAAATTTGCCATAACACTTTACAGAATGAAAATGCACCCTACCGTTCAAAAGTAATAATGGTAATCCGTTTTTCTTCCTTTTTTTTTTTTGCTGTACATTTCCTTTACTTAAAAGATATTACATTATAGAATAAAAACATTTAAACATGAAAAAACTTCAAATATATGTTTCGAGATAAAATTCTCTCAATATGCAATATTTATTTATAATTTAACCCACATTTAAACTTTAATTAATTTTTAAAAAACACTGCTTTTTAAATTACATTTCCCTGCAGTGCCAATTTGAGGAGAAACAGAAGTATAGAAATTATTCTTTTCATTTACAGCATTGTTCAAAACAGCAATTTTCAATGATCGCGGACGCAACGAATTTCCTGTGAAATACATCGTATTTGAATCTGTTAGTACAAAAAGGTTGGAGACCCTTAGTATATTAGATATCTTCTAAAACATTTAGCGCAAAATAACACCCTACATAACTTTTGATCTAATGATCAAAGGACCTAATTTTAATTGTTTGAAAGCCAAATCTTAAATATGCTAATTATTTAGTGCAGACAACACAAAAACATACTTTCGATAATTAAATATACCTTTTTTTGACGTATATCAATTTCTCAAAATATAGGGAGTAGCTGGAAAATGTAGAGGCAAGAAATTGATCCCTTAATGTTTCCTTTTTACGTATATCTCGAGAACATTTTAAGCTAATTTTTAGTAATGTTGTCTGCACTAATTAATTAGCATATTTTATGTTAGGTAATTGAACCATAAAAATTGAGTCCGTCATCAAAATTGTACTTTCTGTACTGAACCGCAAAACATATTTTTTAAACAAAAATATTTTATTTGCATATTGAATGTGATACAACAACTCATTTGAAGTTTATTTCAGGAAAGACTATGGCATAGCTTCTGAAACTAATATACTAGACATGGTGAAAGTAATGGCATTTGCTCTCACCGAAGGAAAGGTAATTTTTTTCCCATTATTTACTCATCTTTTGAAACTCTTTTTTATTTTTCAAACAACAAAGCGTTCAAACTCTAATACTTCTACAGTACAGCTAAACCACATAAAGTTGTTCGTATAAACCATACATAATTTAACAAAAATATTTTCGTATAAATGGATAAAACAATAAAAAGGAGGATTTTGATAAACCAAACAAAAGACATCGAAGAATTTGAATCAATGCCATATATGTATAAATCCTCAAAATAAATGAAAAAATAAAAATTAATTTTATAAAATATATAGTAAAGTTCAGAAGAAGCGATGAACTTGCTTGAACGAGAAAGGTCGCTGCAAAAGTGAGGTTTTCATTAGGTGTAATGTTCGTCTAAACGGGTGAAGTTTGTTTTTGTATGTTGGTATTAACAATTTTTATTGTTTTCCAAGATGGCTGAACCCCAGCAAAAATGTTTTAACGGTGTGCTTTTAACCATTTAGACGCAGTTTTGGTTTGGTCCTGAGTAATGGTAGAAAAGGTGAAACTCCCGTTTATGAAACTAACTTCTCAAAAGTCAACAATTATGCTTTGAATAAAACTTATTTAACTTTTTTTGTTTGTTTCTAATTATTACATAAAATAGTGATAAAATTTTATTATTAGGAATTTATTTTAATATTATACAATATTTTTGTGGTCACAAAAAAGAACTTTTGGAAGGCTTAAATATCTTCTCTCGATCAGCCCAACAGTCATGTAAGTTATCTTGATGTGAGCGCTGTTTATATTTCACCAATATGGTCTTTACAGAACATCAAGTATATTTTAAAAGCGATACTTGAAAAGCTTAGTGGAAGAACTGGCTAAGCGATACTTTTCTTTGTGTTTTTAGTATGTTTGTGAAAACACAACTCATAGAATTTTTAGTGGTCTATTTATTTGATTCTAAATATTTTATAATGGAAGATTTTAATGATTTTGTGTGTTGCATTTGCTTGTTTTTAATGTTTTCGACGACTTTTAATGTCTTTCATCGAATATAATTTTGCTTGAATAGATAACATAAATATACCTATATTTAGGCTTATATTAATAGAATAAAACTTAAGCAATCTTAATTTGGAACAAAATGGTATCAAATTTTATCTTACCTTGTTAGTCCGAAAACCGATCTTAAACGATTCAGAGACAACGCGAGCTCAACTTTCGCTGAGTAGATTTTCACCGCTATGCAAAATAAAGGTAAGAACTGCGAAAACCTCTCGTGGTTAGCCCGATGCTAATGGAGTTCTGATATGTTTCCACCAAAGTATAATTTGCATCAGCTAAGAAATCTCTGGTAACAGGGAGTTAAAGTTTGACTATCTATATCTGCGTTTTATTCATATGTAGACTTAATTTTCTTGAAAAAGTTGCTATTCTCAAACATATAAATACGCTTATCATTTCAGATTGAACAAGTAATATTTTAAGCGAGTGCATACATTTTAAAAATTGTTGAAGAAATTTTTCCTATTTAAAATTTAAAAATAATAATCCGAAAAATAGAAAACTTTTTGTGGTAATAGGTAATACTGATATTAGTTATTTAGAGCTGTTTTAATAGGTACTATATATACTAATATACGTAACACGATACCTACTATGAGTACTGTGGAAATAGATTTTTTACAGCCTACCGAATGGGACAAGTACTGGGGAAAATTGTTGATTGTGGTAATTTTTGACCATCTCGATGGTCTCGAGCAATAGAATTATGCCGAATGATTGCGGCCGCATATCTTTTTTTTAATTTTGTGCATGATTTTGCAATGTTGATCATTACCGATTTATTCATTGTTTAATTTTATTTCAAAAAGAAAAGCAAAAATTCAGCTAATAACAATAATAATAAACTGAATAAGTTGCCTAAGTACTAAATATTATTTATTGTCAATGCAACTTTGCTTTGAAACATAAATTAAATTTTTTTACTTCGGCAGTGTATCTGAAACACAAACTAATACGAAACAAAATAAAATTGTATGATGAAGTTGTTTTAGAGTTATTTTTTCTTGTCTTTTTTAATTATTGATGCGTAAAAAAAACATCAATTCCTCCTTAATGTATAGAAGCTGCTGTTTTTTCATTTTCACCAATTTTTTACCCTCCTCGACTTAGATTCCAAACAAGAAATATTTTAGGGTTGTTTATTGAATCGCCAAGTCACTCAGTCGATTCTTCCACTGATTATCTTCGGAATGAATAGATTTAGCAAAATAAATTAATGGTATAAATTTAAATAAAATAAGAACTTTCCCTGAGAAATTTTAAGTTTTTTAAAAATGTCATTGTATCGATTCTCCCAAAAAGATTTTCATTTACAGAACGCACTCTAATAATAAAATATAAGTGAACACGTGAAATTGAATGCTACTTTTAAAGGGAAACTTTTTCTTCAGGTTGCAGTACACTGTCATGCAGGACTTGGACGAACTGGAGTATTGATAGCTTGTTATTTAGTATATTCTTTAAGATGTAAGCCAAATGATGCAATCCGATATATAAGGATCAAAAGGTACGGACTTTTTTTTATTTCAAATTATAATAATTGAGCTAATTGAGAAATCTTGAGAAGTTTCCAATTCGAACAGAAGATGCTAAAGGTTCCAAAATAGCTCTCTTCAAAATATTTTATGACAATTAATCAAAAAAGGCAGAAGTATTTCAGAATTACAACCAGATCTTCGAATTGCATTAATCGTAGTTAGACTCTCAGAAAAATTGAAATTTTTAACTCCATAGACGTGATGGCAAAGGAATTCAACATTTTAATTTACTTAATGCGTTAATGAGTTTTGACAATAAAAATAAGATAATACAAAATAGCGATTCAAATATTCCGTGCCATAACAGCAATAAAAGCGGGGCTCATTATTTTTACTTATTGGAAATAATGTTCTTATGGTTGGTTGGCTCTAATGCCACTTGCCACACGGGCAAGTCTGCTTGGTGAAACCGAGCAAATTTAAGGCAGAGTGTGCGTTTCTTGTCTTTCAGTGGTGCCATCTATGGCCAAGAATTCGACTTCTGTCCCACCATACGTCGCACCCGTTTATAGAGCGGATCCATTCATACATCCATTCATTTATCCACAGATCGTAATTTTGACCTGAATCAGAGAACGATCGATCTCCAATCCAGTACCCCCAGAGGTATTGATTTGTTATGGGAACATGGAGGGCTTTTGCGACTCGACAGACTTAACGTACATCAGTCACTTTACTACACGGGGAGTCTTCGACCGGCGGGGTTCGAACCCACGAACTCGGTCCCAGCGCCCTACCGACCAGGCTATCCCGGCACTAATGTTTTTAATTATTTATTGTTGTTTTTAATTATTTATTGTTGTTTTTAATTATTTATTGTTCTTATTTACAAATTACTAAAAAATGTATCTTTTTCAGACCATGTGCAATTCAAACGAGAAGTCAAATTGCTTGTGTGCAACAGTTTGCTCAATTTATCTTGCCCCTATTCATCGTCTTCACAAATGTGTAAGAACATTATAAATTTATTTCAAGACTGAATTATTTAAAAATGTATGTTCAAAAATTACTTTTTCTCTCCAAACAGTTTTGAATCAAATTGATTGATATATTTTCACTCAATGCGCGATTTACCAGTAATGAACATCTGACGCTTTCAGTGCGAAAAAAAAACGGACAACTCTGATTAATTTTTGATCTAATGATTGGATCTTCACTTTCTAGGACTCAATCTTAATGGCTCGAAAGGGTGATCTCAAATATGAACTAAAATTTGTGCTGACAATATTTTAAGTTACAAAATTAGACACAAAAACGTACTTTCTCTGAATAAAAAATTTCATAGTGAAAAAAAAGCGGAGGGAAATAAAAGATCAGCACGGTCTCTCATTAGAAAAAGGTCTCTCATTAGAGATGAGCTCGATTTCGCTTTTGGAGATCCGAACTCACCCGAGCCCACCCCGAGATACATAAGATTATTTAGAGTTCGAAATATACTTTGGATGAAGGTCAAATTTTGCAGTCTTTGATGTCTAAACAAGGAAATTGGACTTAAAAACCTTTTTTATCACTAACCTTTAAAACAAAAAATGAAAATCTCCAAGAAACAAAAATTAAAAAAGATAATTTGACAATTACAGTTAGTCTCGCAGAAAAGAAGTAATTTTTAATGCCTCTTAAATTTTATATTCAATAACTGATGTTTTTTTTTTTAATTTTTTTTTTTTTACAAATATACCCCACTCGAAACCTTTTTTTTCCGTGCCCGCGTCTTCATCTCATATACGAACCATTGGAATGATAACGCTGTGAAGTCCTACATACGAGCACTTTTAATTCAAGCTGTTTTTTATGGCAGCGCCTGTTTTCGATTACTTACTGAAGAAAAATAAATACAGTATGAAATTTAATTACCAATAAATATGATAATTACAAACATTATATTTCGATTTTTTTTATGTACTGTTCACATGAGCTACTTTTAACAAAATTAAAACATCGGCTTGCATATTTCTTCTTTGTGTGCATTAGTACATTTTTTACTTAAATCTATTTATCATTATAAAGTAAACAAATATATAGCATTTCAATTGGAAGCGGTTACAAAAATCATCATTTTGGTGAGAAATTTTAACATCGTGCAAATCATGTCATCGTTTTCCAAAATTGTATCATGTTTTCAAGAAGGTTATTTATTTAATAGATTCGTTATAAAAATACAAGTCATTTCAAAGCATGTTGTCTTGATTTGTGAAAATATGATACGTACAGTTATATCAAATAACCGTGAATATATGCATCAAGATCTAATTCTCTGTAGTCACTAACTCATTATTTCTTCATATAATTTTATTTTAATAACTTTGGAAGACACACAGCTCAAATAACTGTATTAGTTATAACCACGTGAGGTATTTGTCCAATGAGAATGCGCCTGGCAGTCATTAGGATCAAATTTATTTTATTTTTAAGTCATAAATCCAATTTGAATCATGATTCGAAAAAGAATTCAAAGCATGAAGTTAAATTTACAAATTCGAAGTCTTGATTGCTATTTTGTGAAGCTCAGATAACTTGAACCCGATTAATAATAATAAAAGAATTTTTTTTTGCTTTTAAACGTCAATAAGGCTCAAATGCTTTAGTTTTCTTTTAGTTAGCTTTTCTAATTTTCTTTGTTTTTCTCTCTTTTCTTTTTAGCATTTTTGTCTTTATTGTGCTATATGTGCTGTCTATTGTGCTATATATATATATATATATATATATAAGGAGGATGAGAGTCCCCTGACTCTAGAGATACTTGCACAGCACAAATGTCACGAGCAGCTTGTGCGTCTTTAGAATCTCGACTCTTTTAATAATCTGAAGTTACCTAAAAAACATGCCTTTCTAAACCATTAAATGGCATGCGAAATTTTTAAGATATCTTACGAAAACTTTAAAGAATGGCTGAGAATGTGATTTTTACAAGGAAGATATAGCTTAGAAGTAATCTCATAAATGAGAAGAAAAAAATTATTTTTTTTAAATTTTCAGTTATGTAAACGTAAATTTTTTTAGTTGTTTTTAACTATTACATTAAACTAATATTACATATCTATTTTGCGCATTGTAGATTATTTTAATAGTTTGCATTTTGGTCATTAAACAAAATCATCTAGACTCAAATAATAATGTCCAAAATATTTCATTGGAACTTTGAATCCAATTACATAGAAAGTCACGTAATATTACCCTCAAAAGTATTTTTTAACCCAAATAAAAAGGGTTACAATAGAAAATGAAGAACAACAAATATGTTTGAATTTTATTAACACTAGAAAGACGGAAAATTAGTATATACCTATATTGCCTAAAAGCAGTTAAAGTGACAGGATTGTGAATGCGTAAATAAATTTGTTTAAAATTAATTTTTAACTTTTTTTATATTATTTACAGTTATTTAACAAGTTATTAGTAAATATTTAACAATAAAAAAATTATATGTTGCACAAAATGTCACAAAATTCAAAGAAATTGTGTCATTATAGACATCATTGTTTTTGTAATTGAAATTAAAAGCAGTCAAAATGACTTCCTTAGGCGATCTAGTGTTAAATAAAAAAATTCTTTTTTTAGTATATCAAAAGGCACACCATTTACTTTGAATCAGCATTTAGCGAGACAGAAACGGATAGTGCATGGACTTGAAGCTCGGCAGTTAAAATTCATTCCAAAAGTATGTATTTTATTTATTTTCTAAAATAATTTATTTCACTGCGTTTATCGAAATTCCGCTTATACGTGATTGACACATATGGAGGGAGGGTTCAGAGGACAAAAACATGCATTTTTGTATAGGAATGAAGGATCTAATTAGCATTAAATTAATCATTTAGCCTCACTGTTTACTATCTCTTAACATTGATATCGGCTCAAAGAGTTGATTCGTACTTCTTATCGGCTCTTTTGAGTCCTTTTCTTATACCTTAACATTACATTCAATTCATTGAACTGTTTAAATGATTCTTTGAATTGGTTATTTAATTCAATTGAGCGGTTTCATATCTTATAACATTAAGGGAAATAGAATCTTAATGATAATTTTTACGTCTTTTTTTTAACTAAGAAATAGTTTTGGGTAATATTTTTTTTAATATTTAGTATAGAAACTTTTTAAAAAATTTTTATAAGGGACATTTTTAGCCAAATTTATTACATCTCTAATTCAAGGGGGGGGGCATTAAACTTTTATTTATTTATTATTACTTTTTTAATTTTCGATTTAAAATGATACTGAAAAATAGTTTTGGGTAATATTTTTTTAATATTAGAGGAGGTTTTTTTTTCATGTTAGAGGAGATTTTATTTTTAAAATCTTTTTTGATAAAGGCTATTTTTAGTCAAATTTATTATATCTTCAATTCACATCCTTTGAACTTACATAATTATAAATACACATCTATAGCCAGTAATTTTGCTGAACAGAAATTGGAGTTTTCAATATTTTTAACCGCTTCCCTTACTAATTAGTTCCAAAAAAAAGCAAAGAATCAACACATTTTTTTTTATTAAAACTACTTCAAAATTCCCAGTATGTTACAAAACAGGTATCAAAATTTCCAGTTCGATTTTATACTGATTTCACACTTTCCGGTATATTTGAAATCCGGTATCAAAATTTCCAGTATGATACATACTGGTTTTAAATTTCTAGTATGGTGCCATACTGGTTTTAAACTTTCCAGTATGGGACCATACCAGGTTTTAAAATTTCCTGTATAGTTTCATACCAGGTTTTAAATTTCCGGTATGGTCATACTGGTTCTGGTTTCATTTTTATTGGTTTTTGATACTGGTTTTGCGAATTTTTTCCAATAGGGGCGGGCAACAGTGTATGTGAACTGGTGGATAAATGAATGGCGCAATATTCTTTTCTCTGACGAGTCCCGTTTTTCTGTTCATCCTGATAATAGGCATATTTTCATCTGGAGGGAACGTGGTCCTAGAAACAATCCTGTTCTAGGGTCACGTTCCCTCCTGTTCCAACAATCCCATTCGTGCACGAAATTGTAAGATTTGGCGGTGAGGGAGTAATGGTCTATGGCATAGGCGTGCGCGCGCCGATCTCCGTATCATTCGAAATGGAACTCTGACCTGTAGCCGATATAGGAATGAGATCCTGAGACCTATTGTAGTCCCTTACGCTGCAGCAATTGGAGATGACTTCATGTTAATGGGCCACATCGTGCTAACTTGGTTAATAATTTCATTTTGGAGGAAGGAATCACAGGAATGGATTGATCAGCATGTTCTCCGGACATGAACCTAATCGAGCATGTTTGGGACATCCATGGCAGACGAATTTTTGGACGCTTACCATCCACACAAACAATCCAAGAACTAGAATGAGCTCTTCTGAAGGAGTGTGACAGAATACCCCAGCCCCTCATAAATAATCTCATAGACTCGATGCCTCAAAGATGTTCAACGTTGCTGGCCGTCCGGGAAAACCATACCCCCTACTAAAAACGATTTTCTTTTAAAGAAACGCCTCTTTTTTTATTTATTTTTCTCATATGCACAAATTGTGTTTTTTTTTTTTTTCCTTTTGCACCTAAATGCTCAATAAAACACATTTTTTTTCTGCCAAACAAATGTCATTTTTATCTTATATAGCCTACTAGTTCTGTCGATTATGTATCAATCATTCAAACAATTTTCTAGGTGCAAAATCAACCCACAACCTCGATCTACCGACTGCGAATTTGCTACGCATGTTTGTCGTAAAACTGATTGAAATTCCCCTTTCAACGTATTTTTCTCTGCGGTTTCTTGCAAACTTTCGTTTTGACTTCTCGGAATTCCAAAACAAATTATTTCGTGATGCGATTTGCATTTTTTACAAGGGCTAATTTAACTCTAACATTGTGAACTTAAATTTGCTTTACAGAAACATTCAAAGTAGCTCGCATATTAATGCCTCTTTTCCGACACTTTTTTTTACAAATAAATTAATCATCTTCTACAAAATACACAATTAAATTTTAAGCCAATTGCTGTGGGAATATTTAATCTGAACTGTTATTTATTACTTCCCTAGAATTTTAGTGCTTATTTTTTTTTAATGTTATCATGGAATAATGTTCATGATTCGCGTACTTCTTTCCCAATTTATTGAACTAAATTCTGTTTGTATTGTTTTTAATAATATCTTTCTGTTGTATTGGTGTTTGTATTTAGTTTTAATAATATCGGGAATAATAAGTGCCCCAGAGACTGCATTTAAGCTTTCTAATGTAATAAAATTTCTATTATAAACAGCAAGTTGATGCAAACATATAGTAAATGGTACTTACTATATATTATACACTTTTATTTTTGAATCATTTCTTCACACAATTTTTTAATCTGATTAATTAATTAATGTTTGTTTATAAATTTTCTCATCACTAAGTTTTAGATGAGACACTTCCTAAAAGGTGGGCTAATTTTGATATTTATGCATTCTCTACTTAAACTTTATGAAATTAACACTATGATAACTTTTTTCATTCAATTTTTTTTATAAATCTTAAAACAGTAAATTTGTGGGGGAAAATATCGTCACATAATTTGGGTATTTCAAAACTTCAAGAGTAAGAAAATGGAGTTTTGTACAGAAATCTCTAAAAAACATAAAAATGTGTTAATACTCGAAAAATTATTTTAAGGATGAATAAATAAGTTTAAATCATTTACTTTTATCTGTTAAAATAATAGAATGGTTTCTGTCAAGCATCGACACACTATAATGTTTTTTTCTAAAAATTTTCACGGAGTAATATAATTTATCTATTACCAATAATGGTTTAAGATATTATCAAATAACCATCCAATTTAAACACTTAGTTTTTTTTTAACATCTAGATACTAGTTAAATAATTTTAAGTTGTATTGGCGCATCAGTAATTGCTGAATTTGATCTTTTGGTTAGAAAAAATACTTTTTAAAGGTATTTATAAAAACTTTTCAATAATTATGTTAATTACTGTCTCTTAATAGAATTATAAACGTACTCTAAATTTTTTACTGTGAATAAAATTTAAACCTAACTGTTGTTAGAGCACCCTATTCACACAACCGTGTGTCAAATAACTACAAACGTTGTTGTTTTTTCAGATGTTATACGTTGTTTGTGAACGTCTTTTGCAATTGGCTAACTGCAACCTGCCAATATTACAGCAAATATGCTACGACTTGGATAGTCCAGTGAGTTTTTGCAATTATTTCATATCAGCTACATCAAGCAGTGATTCTCATTGGAGGCCCTCTTCTAGTCTTACTTTAATGGAATTAGACTGTTCATCAGGAGATGTAACAGATGGAAGCCAAGATTTGAAACCTTTAGAATTAGGAAAAGGTCCCCCAAGTCGAGGAGCTGCTTACTATCTAGACACTTGTGATTCAAGATGTGATCAAAATTCGAGTGATTATGCTTCTACGCCTGATCTTCAAAATCGCTTACCACCAGATGGACGCAGTACTGGTAGTTTATCTGCTGAAAGACGAATGTACCAAGATGAATATCTTGATGATTATAATGATTACGGAGATGATGATTTTGAAACTAGTGATGAAAGTATCGATTCTATGCTTATGGAAGGTCATCCAGCCATGTATCTTGCCAATAATACTTGCTACCAAGAACTTAATAACCATATGGAAATCAGTTCCAATGATGGTTCCAGCACAAATGATGGGGAAACGTTATTGATGGAAGATCGAGTTACCCCAACAGATCTCATTAAAGCTCTCATGAGTGACCATTTACTTCAAGGAAATGACTTTCAAAACAAAATCAAATCTATACAGGCAAGTATTATGCATTCATTACATCGAAAGAACATTCTCTTCTTTTACTTTTATTACACAGTCTATGGCCAAATTATTAAGATTCTATGTAAAATCTTAATTCTCAAGTGATACTATACAACTATATTGTTTTTACGGGGCTGAAACCGGTTTTGCACTAGTTTATGTTCGTGTATCAATTACTTAACATTGGGATGTAATGCGTTAAAAATAAATACAAATAGGAAGTACATAAAAAATTTCCTGAATGACAGCCCATAACATGTATGTTTAAATATAAAAGTGAAAAAAGGTTTATTCGTCTCTCTCGGGGAAAATAATCACTTACCAAGCCGGTTTTAATTACACAACTTTATTGAGACAAAACGCATAGAGAACTAAAACTACATATACATAAAACAAAAATTAACATTTACTATTCACGTGACTTTATACTGCCATCTATATTTCATTTTGAAAACTACTTTAAGCATAAACATCCTCCCCCGCCATGAACCCTTAGGGGGTTCATAAAATGTTATACATTCATTCAAACTTTAATTTCAAAGATAAAGCAGCAATAAATCAATTACAGAAAATTTTAAGTTTAAGAATCTTCACACAAAACTAAATCAACTTTAAATGAAATATATGTGAATCGTAGACAAACAATAAACAAATTAACTATAACAAAAACAAAATTGATCTAATGAAATGCACTTACAGACAAATATCAACCATCATAAAATTTTGATTTAAAATGAAAATTAAATTTGACTGAAAAATTAAAATTAACAGTTCAAAGTTCGTATGAGTTCAAAGTTTGTATTCTATAGGCAGTGGGCAAAGTTTAACAATAGGACGTTTTAACTCACCATTTGCAGTTTTCAACCTTACCACTCTGATTTTACCATCTGCTCCAGGATAAGTCTCTAGCACACGTCCCAACTTCCACTTCAGTGGAGGTAAATCATCTTCTTTGATTAGCACCAGTTCATTTACAGCAAGATTTTTCTTTACTTGGAGCCATTTCGGTCGCCTTTGAAGAGTGGAAAGATAGTCAGTTGACCACTGTTTCCAAAATTGTTGTTTCATTTTTTGCACTAACCTCCATCGTTGTAAAGGTGTAATCACTTCCTTTGAAAGATCAGAATCCGGTACTGATGTCAATGAAGTACCAATAAGGAAATGACCAGGCGTCAATGCCTCACAATCAGCAGGATCATCCGACAGAGGGGTAAGTGGCCTAGAATTAAGGCAAGCTTCTACTTCAGCAATCAGGGTTAGGAATTCTTCGTAGGTGAGGATCTGTTCACCGACAGTTTTTTTAAGGTGTGACTTCATAGATTTAACAGTAGATTCCCACAATCCTCCATGATGAGGTGCCGCAGGAGGATTGAATTTCCAAATGATATTATCCTTTGCAAGATAGCCTTGAAAACCTTCATCTGAAGAGAGTGATGCAATCAGGCGTTTCAACTCTCTATACGCACCAACATAATTTGTCCCACAGTCACTGTGTATCTGATCAGGTTTTCCACGTCGAGATGTAAATCTTCTTAAAGAAGCTAGGAAGGCATCAGAAGTCAGATCACTTACAAGTTCTAAGTGAACTGCTTTTGTGGATAAACACACAAATAAACAAACATAGCATTTCATAGTCTTCACACCTCTTCCTTTTCTGGACTTCACTTGGAAAGGACCGGCATAATCAGTTCCAACAATGGAGAAAACTCGGGAAGGTGTTACTCTTACTGAAGGTAAATCAGACATAAATTGTGTCAAAATTCTAGCATTTTGACGATGACATTTTACACAACTGGAGATAGTCTTTCTGACAAGATTCTTGACACCAATTATCCAATATTCTTGCGTTAATGCTGATAATGTCATTTGAATAGTTCCATGTAGATGGCTTTCATGAAAATATCTCACAATTATCGTTGATAAATGATGACCTTTTGGGAGAAGTATTGGATGTTTTCGACGGTCAGAAAGATTGGAATTCTTCAATCTTCCACCAACTCGGAGCAGTCCCGATGAGTCAAGAAAGGGTGCCAAAGGCAACAGATTGCTATTTTTTGGGAGTGTCTTCTCTTTATGCAGATATTCTATTTCAGTACCAAAAGCATATTCTTGAACTATCTTCACCAGAGATTTTCTAGAATTTTGAATCTCTGCAGTTGTTAAACAACCACTAATCTTTGCAGCTGGAAACTTGCAATTTAAAATAAATCTTCTACACCAGGCAAATACTCTTTGCAATTTAGTCCATGACGAAATTTTATTTATGACGTTCATAAAATCAGGCTGGCTTTCTTCCTTGCAATCATTCATATTAATGTTCATGGGCTTGATTCGTTTCTCAATACGAACTTCATCGTCCAAGTGTTCGCTATTCCAAGAGCTAAAACCTTTACCATTATTCCATTCTGACTCTTCAAGTCTCAGCCAAGGAGGTCCATGCCTGTATTTATCTCCTTCTTTCAATTCGCTTGCATTGCACCCACGTGTCAGCAAATCAGCAGGATTATCGATACCACAGCAATGTCTCCAATTTTCTGGTTCAGTTTTCGCTTGAACTTCCATTACTCTGTTCCCTACAAAGGGTTTCCAATTGCTAGCACACCCCTTGATCCAATGTAAAGTCACCATGGAATCACTCCATAAATAATAATTGTTCGTTATGTGGAAAACACTTCTCAAGGAGTCTAGCACTCTTGCACCAAGGACAGCGGATAAAAGCTCTAGTCTCGGTAACGTAATTTTCCTAACAGGTGCAACTCGAGCTTTTGCAAGGACAAAGCTAACTTCATACTGTCCTGATTCATTGATGTATCTGAGGTAAGCTATAGTACCGAAAGCTAATTCACTGGCATCGCAGAAAATATGTATCTGAAAATCGATGTTCTCTCGACTAGACCTAGGAAAGTACCAACGAGGTATAATAATGTCTTCCAGTTTCGGAACTTCAAATGTCCATTTCTTCCATTTTCTTCTCAAATCATTAGGTAACTCATCATCCCATCCAAGTCCTCTTTGCCAAGTAACTTGCAACAATATCTTTGCTCGAATCGTGAATGCAGCTATAAACCCGATAGGGTCAAAAATCATGCATGATAGTTGCAAAATGGCACGCTTCGTGCAAATAGTACTTGAGAGAGAACAGTTTATGGAAGATAAATCCAATTTCAGTTCATCTTTCACGGTGTCCCATATGACACCTAGTACCTTAATAGGAATCAAACTATTTTTGGAAGGTTCATCGAATTTCGTTTCTTGCCAATATTGCGACAGTTTGATGCTGTTAGTTTTAAAGGCACGTAAGTTCATGTTGGCAGACATAAGAATGTTCTTTGTGTCGTTACACAGTTCAATAGCGTCTTCTAAATTATTCACACTTGTAATTAAATCATCGACATAGAGGCAATCGTTTAACGCCGCGTATGCTATATATATATATGCAGTGCAAATTTAGAAAATTTCCTATACCTTTAGATTACTTCTTAAAAAATAAAGTCAAAAATTAATTTATTTACTTTTATTTATTAATTCTTATTATTTATTCATTTACTTTGTGCGCATGAATTGATACTTAAGCGAGGAAAAAATAAAACGTTTTCAAAACTCATTGAGTAAGGTAAGTTAGGTGAAAAACATCAAAACCTGTTTGATAGTCTGAAAAAATTGCGACAAGATTAAAGGACTGTAAGAATTATAAGAAACACCTTCTACTCTTTCATCCATCAAATCAGGTTTATTTTGATGTTTTCAATCTTTAAATAAAATAACGTTTCTTTTCTTAAATTCATGTAAGTATATATTGCATTTGTGATTTCATTTTTGACAAGAATTCTAAAAATATATATTAAAGGGCTGTGATTATAGCTACTCCTATATATATAATCATATTCTTTTCTTCAATAACTTCAAAATATTTTCAGATTCATATCTATTTTCAAGGTTTAATTTTTTTAGACGACAAGATGTTGTACACAGCGAAAAATAAATAAATAAAGGAAACTCTCTGAATAGCTTTTGATGTAATAGGTAATCAAATTATCACTTTCTAGTACCAGGGCTGGTTGATTTAAAGCAATGTGGTTTAAATCATGATTTTAACTACGGTTTAAACCTAACGGTATTTTTTTCAAAAGAAACCAGGTCTTTTTTTTTTAAATTTTAAATAATTAATTTTTCTTCATTTATATAAATTCTTCCCATTTGATTATAAAGAAATTTAAAAAGAAGTTTTCTTAAATTTTTTACAATTTTGAGTCCAACAGCTTATGGGAATTTGTATTATTTCAAATAAATATAAATTGCAATTTTTAAATGTTTGCATAGTTTTCCACTAAAATATTTATACTCATTTCGTTCGGAAGAAACTTATTTCTTCTGAGACAGACTATTTATTTTAATTTTTGAAGAAATTCTCCAGAATGTTTTGTACTTCTTAGTTTTCCTTTATTTAAAAATGATACATTAAATAGCTTTAAAATTAATATTTTAACTAGATTACAATTACAAACTATTTAAAAAACTGTTAAATATTTTTTTCTTCTTCTTTTTTTTTTTTTTTTTTTTGAAAAAACGTTTCTTCCGAAGTGATTTTACCACTGTGAAAGAAACTTGCCCTCCCTGTTGTAAAATAAAGTGAGCAAATTTAAAAAGAAATCAATGTCTCTTAAAAATGCTTAAAATAAAATAGATGTCCCATGTTTTGTAGTTTTTAAAATTACTTAAATAATGTATTAATTACTTAAGTAGTATAATAATTACTTTAAAAAAACGCAGTAGGGAAAATTGCTAGTTTTTTCTGATAATCTGGATTTTAGATCATTTATAAGTTTGTTTGTTTTTCATGTGATTTTTCAAATTCCGATGTTTTTAATAACATGATATTACGACACTGGAATTCGAAATTAAAGTTATAACTTTTTGATGCTCTTGATTAGCGATTTTGTCGTAAATCCTCATTGTTTTCTGATCATACTTTCGATATTTATTAAATGTTTTTGGGCGATCTCTGCATGATTTTTCAAACTTCGGTATTTTAATACAATACTGCAACACCCGAAGTTCAAATTTGAATAATCACTTTTCGATGAGCATGATTTACAACTATTCTGTCGTTAGCACATCGTTTTCTGATTGTTTTCACGACAGTTGTTTTAGCTATATTTCATTTTACGTTATTTTTCTATGATCATTCAAATTTTTTAACGTGTTTTAATCATGACTATTGCATCCTTAATCCATATAATTTTTGTAACCATTTTCTCAACAGATAGTTTTCGTTTTACTGGGCTTTTTCACATAGTTTTTCAAAAAGCGATATCTTTAATATGATGTTATTACGACACATGAATTACAAATTTGTCTAATCTATTTTTAACTAATCCTTTCCACATCGTTTTTAAAATATTTTTATTTTAAATACAATATTTTAAATACAATATTATTATTATCGACTTATTCGAAATCACGTATTTGAGTATTTAAACTTTCATATTTTCTACAATAAATATTTACCATTCAGTGATCGTTTTATTGCAATAAGTCTAACAACAATGATTATGATCTGAATCGCGTAAGGAATTACGATACCACTTTTATAAACCCTGATTTCATGTATTTTTTTAGCAAACTCTGCTTTTGAAAAATGAAATCATGCCCTGCTAACAATCGAGGTGGAAATTTTACATATGTGCAAAAAAGATTCCGGTATTAAATGTTTATTGGGTTGTTAAGTGGAGAATATTTAAGCTCTTAAGTTATAATATATTTTTTATCATGTTGAAATATTTATGAGTAAAAGTTTTTGTTTGTATTCTTCATAAAAATTTTAATCAATAGTTCATTATGTGAAATACTTTTCAATGATTTAATTAATTTTAATTTGAGGCTCAGCATGCTATTTAACCTTTAGTTTTAAATAAAAATTATTTCATTTTGTAATGGTTGAAAATTTCTGAATCGCAAAGTATGCAAATTTTTAAATTTATGTGGCAAAATATAAAATTTTAAAGAAATCGGTCAAATAGTTTCTAAGAAATCGAATTTTTTAAAAGTCAGATATTTAAAATTCGATTTCTCAGGAAAAATTCGAACGATTTTGTTCAAATTTGGAATTTTTCCTTAGACAATTTTATTTTTTAAAATGATGCAAAAATGCGTATACCTAGGAATAGATTTTTTCACCCATTATCAAATAAAATAATGAAAAATAATAAATAATTATTAAAAATTATTTTATGCATGAAATTATAATTGGATAAATGAATTTGAAGATTGCGTGCGAAAATATTTTAATTCGCTTGGAAAGTTCTCGAGATATGGCGAAATACACGAAACTTAAGATCAACATTACTGGGTTCAAATTTTCTACCGCTCGCCTGACCAAACTATTGGGACCGTATTTCCCAGAGAGCGGTTACCCGCTATATTTTAGAGGCCAGGAATCCGTCAAAAAAAAGTATGATTATTCTGAGAACGTATGTTTTTTATGTCTGAGGTCGTAACTTGAAATATTGTTTAATATTTTTTTAATGGTGGGCACCTGGGACGAAGACCCATTGGCCTCAGAAAATGCCAGAACTGCTACTCTCTTCTCGTTACCCAGTGGGCACCTGTGGCGAAGTCACGGCAGTGGAGCAGCGTCGCCCACGTCACACAACCACAAACCCGTTTATAGGGCAGGTTCACACACAAAGGAGAAAGGACATAGAACACAGAGAGAAAGAAACATCCATGTCCTGAGCAGGATTCGAACCCGCGACCATCGGCTCCGCAGTCAGGCACGCTAACCACTCGGCCACCTGGTCGGCAAGTTTGCACTAATTAATTAGCATATTTGAGGTCACTTTCCTCGAACCATTAAACTCACGTTCTGGTACTTAAAAATCCAATAATTAGATCAAAAATTATTCAGAGTGATTAGTTAATTTTTTGAGCATTGCAGACATAGTAGGTTATTAATTAAAAATTGTGATATTCACAAGCTATTAATGATATATTAGTGAACAATTTTAAAACTTAACATCTATTTCATTATAATAATTGATGGAAAACTATTAATTACTATAATAAAGAAATTTTGTCTAAGAAAGCTCGCGCAGCGCTTTAAAAAAAATTAAATTTAACACAAAAAAATAGCAAAACAACATTTTTGAAACAGACAAGAATGATTTATAACAAACCAGCGATTCAACTTACTTTAAAATGTATCGAAAAATGAAATCTTATATTTCAAAAAGATTTTAATAATAATTAAATTTTGCAATAATTTACTGCAATTAAGTACCGAAATGTAAAATATCTTTCCGATAGAAAAGATTTTTAAAATTATTCTAAATAAAAGAAATTTGCAGCTACTTCCTGAACTGCCCAATTTGTGATATTTTTCTCTTGTAAAAATTTGAATATTTTCTTCACATTAAACAAAGAAATTGTCTTAACTCAAATTTACACCTTTTCAACAAATCCACATCATAATTTTGACAAAACAAAAGGCGCGTTAAAGACACCAGCTTTAAGCAATACATTTTTTTAATGTTGCCTTGCTGACCACCATAACATAAAAGGCTCAAATTACAAAAAATGCTTGAGTCCTCTTGATTTCGGTAGTCTTTCCAGTTTTCCCCATAATCTGTTTTATTTAGAATGATGTAATTAGAAGTTTGAACTATTTAAGGAAAGAAAAATAGCAAATACTACTAACCTCCTTAGGTAGAAAAACTTATGAATTAATAAAAAAACGTGTAATACTCGTTATATATCCGGTTTAAAAAATGCCGAAACGTTGTTCCGTTATGTTCTGGCCCTACTTTACCCCTGATTGTACCTTAGATCATTGGATGTTACACCTTGAATCACTCTCATTTTGAACTATACTATACTTTTTAGTTTACTGAAGTTGCTGTTTTAATAAAGTTTTCAACAGTATTAAAATAAACCATTAACGAATTACTTTAGTGGTATATAGATTTACTAAGAACAAAAAAACCTTTGCATGTTGCAAGCGGCAAATTCCACATGGAAATATATGTAGGATTGTTCACGTTCAGAAATATACATAGTGCATACCTCAGACCTGTACAAAATACAATACTGACACTTATCCAAGGTACAATAAGCTTCTACTTTTTTTGAATTCCTAACAAAGTTTCAACATAAGTTTCGCGTACTAGAGCAAAATCTTGATATTTCGCTGCCTTTCCTTAGTAATTATTATTCAGTGCAGGCGATGTTACGAAGCCGACACAAAAACGTATTTTCTCTATACAAAACTTACCTTTCTTTGAAGTTGACCCTCAAAAAATAAAGGAGGGAAGCAGCCGCAATCTGGAAAAATGATGTCTCAACAATCAATTAAACGCGTTTAACGTCATCAGCCACTGACTATTAACCCTTTGCTTACGGTGTACGATGTTCTTCCTTCACATATGGTCCACATGTTGTACCAACCGTAAGGTAAAGATTAAAACTCGAAATTTACGTAAGAATATTATCTTTCTTTCATATTACTGCTAAGCATTCCCCGAAACCATACGTAAGTCATGCGGCGTTAATAATTAGTACCATTTCTTGTATGATAAATACAATTTTTTTCAAAAATATATTTTTTTCTTTAATTCTATCTATAAAAAGCTCTAATTTCAGAAGGAACTAAATAATCGTTCATCTGCATGGGAGAGATTGAAACGTGAAAAAGATATTAGACTTTTGACAGCTCTCATGTGGAGTTACATGGAACACTTAAAAGTAAAATATATTCTATTCTGAAGAGTGAATATGATAAGTAAATATGATTATAATTAATAATTGGAGATTTTTTTAATTTAATTTTCAGGAACCAATTTTATCCAAGCAAGATTTAACATACATTGTTTTAAGAGCTGAAAAACCTGTGAATGCTTTAGTAAGATTGGATAAAGTAAGTACTGTCTGTTATCCTAAATTATAAAAATTTAACCATTGAAATAAGGCAAAATTATTCCTTGAAATGTTGAAATTTTCTATACCATTATGTTATGTATTAAATGCTATTTTTGTGAGTTAACGGAAAACTACACTGTAAAAAAATCCTTAACCAGTACTTGGTGCAAAGTTTCTCACGAAAGGTCCCAAAGTTTGGTTAAATGAAAATTTATTTTATTTTAGTTACGCCATAAATTGTGAAGTGTGATCGAAAAATACTCCCATGGTGCAACTGACTGCACCAAAATTTAGTAAAAGGCCCACAATTTTGACGGTAAACGGGACGATATTTGTTCACGAAGCCAATATTCGGTGTATCGGGACGACTAATGCATGTTATTCCAAGTGTCAACTTATTGGTAAATGTTTTGTTTACATTAATTAACCCTTACGGCTTTTAATATAATGAAGCCCGACATTATGGTTCACCTGTTATACCAGCCGTAAGCATTTCTTTTATATTGCCTTTTTAATTTGGTTGGCGGTATAAAATGGTTAGAGATTTTAACCTACTTACGGATAAATAGTTTTGTTACTGTAACTTGGCCTGCATTTGGGTGCTTTAAAAATACCTAATAATGGTGCAAAATTCCTCTGCTTTTATAAAAGAAAGAATAAAAATAGGTGTTTTGTTTCTTCGTAACATCTACTTTTGGTGCAACTCATATTTGGAGCTAGTTAAAATATCAAAATATGGTGAAATTGAGCTCAAATTTATGTAGCCAGCAAATAAATACCAATTTTTAGTGCAGCGTGGCTCGGAATTTCCAACAGTTTTTTGTAACAAATAGGATTGTAAGTATATTAAAATAAATTTTAAAACGTTAAAATGAATACAATGCTTATATATGTCTTGATATTTTCAGAAAATATCTATATGAAATAATTGGCATGCATAACTATCAAAATATGCATTTTAAAATAATTAATTTAATATTAAATTTGAAAAATTGTAGAATGTATAAGAATAACAGGATATAAGAAGGAAAAAAAACCTATATAACATTTCTAAATTGACATCAACGCACCTCAACTTGTTTCACTGTATTATTGAAACAGTTTATTTTCACATTCAAGGATTCATTTTTAACAATCGTCACTTTTAATGTAGTGAATTTTTAACTACTGAACTAATTTCATTGAACCTTGTTATTTAAACTAACATTGATTGCGAGTTTGTAAAAAACGTCAAAAAATAAATCGTTAAGAAATCAAATAATAAAAATTAATCTATGGCGAATTTAAGAAATGAGTGCAAACTTGTTTTGATTTATTTCCGGGGTATGACACGAAAATTAGTCACTTAAAAAGTTTTAAAGATCAAAATAATAATACTTAATAATAAACAAATAAAAATTGGGAGTCCATTCAAGACAAAACCTCTGTGTATCTAATTTTCATGAGACAAATTACTCATCTGCACTCATTTTAGATTGGGTCCTCAAATTATGAATCCTGTACAGGACTATTCTGCGGTGTTTATGGTAACTAATACACAGTTCAGGGAATTCATCTACTGTTAACACTAGATTGCCTAAGGAAGTCATTTTGACTGCTTTTAATTTCAATTAGAAAAACAATGATGTCTATAATGACACAATTTCTTTGAATTTTGTGACATTTTGTGCAACATATAATTTTTTTATTGTTAAATATTTACTAATAACTTGTTAAATAACTGTAAATAATATAAAAAAAGTTAAAAATTAATTTTACACAAATTTATTTACGCATTCACAATCCTGTCACTTTGACTGCTTTTAGGCAATATAGGTATATACTAATTTTCCGTCTTTCTAGTGTTAAGCATATTTTTGTATTATAAACTTTTTTCGATGCGACCCTTCGATTCCATGGTTGCTAAGCAACTGCCCTAACACACCGTACTCTGCTTCCTTGTTTAGTGTTAAAAATATGCTCACTTAATCAAAGTTATACTCAGAGTGCAATATTATTATTATTGTGAGCACTTTGTATGTACTTTTACTTGTATTGCATTACTTTTAAAATGTATTACTTTTGTTACTAGTTTAAGGAAAATGTACAGTAACTTGTAATGAAATATATTTACTTTTAAGTTTTGGAAGTATATTCAATTTACTTAGTATTAATTTTGAGTGAGAAATTCTTCCTAATGTTTCACTCAACCGGAAAGAAAAATTCTTAAAAAAAAATTTTTTAAAAATTTGTATTTGTTTTATTACTGTATTTTATTTGAATTGCATATTTACAAGACTTATTCCAAAAGTAAGATTTCTTTTCTTTTTAGAAATGCATAAATTTATTTATATTTTTTTATAACTTTTTGTTATTTTTCTACATAATCATAACTTTCGATCTCTGTTGAAACTGCCTCACGCAAGCCCTCACCATTGCATAAAACTTCGTCCTTTAAACTCATCGGAGTATTAACGATCTCTGCGATAAATAAAGCACAAATAAATGTTCAAAAATTATTAAAATACTATGGTTTCTGTTCTATAAAGAAGAATCTTCCCTACCATAAAAACACAAACGAAAGCGACAAACACGTAGCTATAAGATAAAAAATTATTTAACTAACAGTGGAACAAGTTTGATAATACAAGGGAAAGAAGAAACAGGTGTGATGGGGTATGGTGGAATCGCCGAAGTGCAAGATGTAGAAATTAAATGAGAACAGATTTCCAGACTTATGAAATATATGATATTAGAAATATATGAAATTGTATGATATTAGTAATATATGATATATATATATTACTAAAATATATGATAGTAGAAAGTATATGATAGAGAAAATATATGATATTAGTAAAAAAAATAATGTATGATATTAGTAAAAAAATTAATATATGATATTAGTAAAAAAATTAATATATGATATTAGTAAAAAAAATAATATATGATATTAGTAAAAAAATTAATATATGATATTAGTAAAAAAATTAATATATGGGATTAGTGAAAAAATTAATATATGTTATTAGTAAAAAAAATTTATTAGTAAAAAAATTTATATTAGTAAAAAAATTAGCTAAATTATTATTATTATTTTTATTTTTTTTTGAAAAATATGGAATGATTCTTGAAAGTCAAGGACCGTAGTATTAAAACGATGTTGAATGATTTTAGTCAACTATAGTCATTGATTAGAATTCTAACTATGTTAGGAGATGGATAACCCAACCCCTTCACACCTTTCTTGTATTTCCCTTTTAATATCTTCTCCAAGCTTGTTCCTTTTATCCTGTTGATTAAACTACTTTTTTTTATTGCAACGTGTTTGTCTCGTTACGTTCTTCTGTCATTTTGTGTTTCGACACTGAAAAAGGCTTATAGACCCGAAGCTACAGTGTGTCCATTTTTATGCCTTTGCTTTATTTATGCGTAGTACAAAATATTCCCTTTTGTTATTTGGAATCTCAATAATAGTTTGAATGGAACTTGATTACCACCTGATGAGGTAAAAATCAAGTGTAACCCTAAGGGAGTTTATTACTCAAAGATATATTATGAATGTATATTCAGAGTACAGTCCACTATTTTTTGTAGAATGTTCACAGTCGTTTAAAATTTATAATGAGATGGGAAATATTCTTAAATTGTATTGAAAATCTAAAAAAAAAATCCAATTTGTCTAAATGGAACGCAATAGAACCTCTAAATACCTAATGAATACAAAACTGAGAATTTCTATGGTTAATGTTGAAACCTCATTTCCTGTGAAATATTTTTACTTAGAAATGTGTAATTTAGAAGAACTCAGAAATGCAATAAAGCAATTATTTCAACTAACTTTTTTTAATTACTTTCAATTATTACGTAAAATTGGGATAAATATTCAACATTTTTTTGCATTGTATAGGATATTGTATTTCTTCACGTTTTGGTCATAACACAAAATCCACTCTTATAAGATATTCCATAAAACTGTCCAAAAGGCTACGGAAAAAAAATCTAACCTTTCTAATGATTTCTTCCTTGTAATTAAAAACCCCGATATTTTTAAAAAGACTATCGCTTTGTAAAGGCATGCAAAAAAATCCTAAAATGTTGTTTTTGAAGTGATAAAATAGTACCAAATGTTGTCCAATATATTGGACGCTGGGCCTTCATAGCTTAAAATGTAATGTACAAAAATTGAGAATTCATTCATTGCAGAGACCAAATTTTAAATATTTCACCCATCTATTTCTTCTCATCTCGTTTTAGAATTCTTTTCTTTTTTCTTATAATATCGTTAATTTGATCTTCTTTTTTTAGGGTACAAGGTACACAACGGAATATTTAATCCGTTTTATCGCCCGCTTACTGCCAAATTCAGGTAACATTGTTGATGATCTTTTAAGAAGACTGGTGGCATCTCTTACCCATCAGAGTATTGCAATTAAAGGAGCTTTATGTCCCGTGGGATCAAAATGGCCCAAAATGCGAGAAGGAACAACAAGGCATATGATGATGTTTGTTCAAGGACTTTATGATATTGTTACAGGAAATAAGAATTCAACAAAAGAAGAAACTCTTACTAGTAATACTCGATCAGTCATAAATGGTAACAAATTCAGCAGAGTTGCGGGTAGGGCTTACTTAGGATTGAATCTAATGGTAAAAGCCATTGGAAAGCCAACCACGCATTGACAGTTCAAACAGTATAAATCACAATTTTTCGAAGAATGCTTCTACGATTAAAAGAATTCTTCCAAATATTTCAGGAATAATGGATACAAATTATGCACAGATTGGAATAATTTTATACTACAAATTTAGTTTTCTTAATGATATAATCAGCGGTTCCCAAAACGTTTACCTCTGATCTTTATGACCTTTTTGACCCACGAGCGATTCCACGAAATCAGAAATGGAAAAACATTTAACACACTTATTTTGCTTTCACTTTAATCAACGTTAATTCAAAGTATACATTTTTTTGGACAAGAATTAAATAAATAAAATTATTGTGCCCATAAACACAATAATGAGACAAAAAGAATAAAAGAAAAGAGATTAACGAACAAAATTTTTAAAAAATAAGAAAAAAATAATAAGTTTTATTTACTGCGCTTAAGCAGTAAGTATAAAAGACCCATAAAATAATTAAAAATACAGAGAAAAAAAGAAAAATATATAATTTTAAAGAGAAGAAGAAAAAATTTTAATAAATAAAATGTTTTAGAAAATACTTAAAAAAATTTAAAAAGTTTAGAAAACTTAAAAAAGCCGGAAAACAGAACACATTAAGTAAAAATATCACGTAAAAACAGAAAATAAAATATTAAAAAAAAAAACAGAATAAAACATAAAACGAAAAATATAAAGCGGATTTACTCTGTTTTTTCTTTATATTTTGTTTTCTGTTTTTACGTGATATTTTTTACTTAGTGTGTTCTATTTATTTTATTTGTTGCAAATTTTTTGGAGTGCTCCACACACTATTGTATTGATAAATTTTGCTTTGGGCTATATTGATACAATATTAGAAAGCACTCTTTTTTGCGGATATAATCGTGGGAGCTGATGAAAATATTATATCTTTTATTTTCATTATTATTTTTCTTTTTCCCTTTTTTCATTATTCTGTAATTTTTCCATGTTTTTNGACCTATATATATATATATATATATATATATATATATACATATAAACTTCATCCGCTTGAAAAATACACTTAATGGAAATAACAGTCGACAAGTTTCAAGTAATATCTTACTAGCTCAGTTTCTTGGGATTATTTATTTAAATCTGCATAGTTCTTATTTAAGTTTCCTTTTTTTACTTTTAAAAAGCAAATAAACGAATGGATAAACTTTTTTTGAAATATGATTTCTAATGAAAATTAAAATGTTGAATTGAGAGAGAACCGCAAAGAACAAAAAATAAAAATATTTAATTACAAGCTTAACTGAATAGATAGATATGTATATTTAGATGTATATTGTAAGATATGTATATTTTTCAAATATAAATGCAGTTATAAATAATTGCATTGGTAACTTCTCCATTTATAATAAACTTGAAAATTTCCTTTTCAATCCAACGAAATAAAAATAAAAATTGATTGTTCATATAACCTCTTGATCTGTTGTTTAATTAGAGTGAAAACTCTTATTTGAATTGCGACGAGAAATCATTTCGCAGTAAAATTCTTCGGAGGATAAATGTTGGGAACCACTGATAAGAATTATTGTTGCTATAATTGCATTATTGTAGTGAACTTATGCTTCCAAATATATACTCTCTCTTGAGAAAAAGTATTGAGCATTTTTGTAATATAATTAATTAATTGAAAAGTATTAAATTTCTCTCAAATTTGGCAACACTAACTAATTTTAATAAAAATTTAAGTTTTACCATAGTAGAATTGCCAAGAAGAAGTGCCCAAGCTATAATTTTAAACTATATCTAGCTAGAAAGAATTATCTGGGCTTTAGAATGAACAAAAAAATTTTAAAAATCCTCGATTTGGCGGGAGATTTTTTCCTCTGGTTGAAAAGTATCAAAATTAATCATTTTTTGCCCATCTTTATGAGCCCAGATAACTTTTTAAAGATTAGAACTTCATCTTGTGTCGTTTTCTGCCATTTTCATTAAGGGATAAGAGTCTGTTGCCAACTCAAAGCAATCATCACAAAAGCACGTGAAGCCTTCGAAAACCAGCTTTAAATTAATTTTTAAAAATATTTTTAGCAATTCTAAGAAGAAGAAAAAACATTTTTTAAATATCTATACTACTGTACATAGATTTAGATCTTTCAAATGTATTAATATAATATTTAGCCTCACTTAAATGAGGATTGCCTTAAATGTGACGAAAATCAAAATTTTGATGCTTCTTGAAAATAATGTTCAGAAATTGTACTTTGATTTTAAAGTTGGACTAATATGAAGGATAAAAAATCTATGAATCTATTAGCAAACAAAATCATTGAGTTTAATTTGAATGTGTCTGTAAAAGTCTTACAAAAGTTTTAATTTAATTTAGACCATAATTCTTTTTTTTTGGGGGGGGGGATTTATACTTCACAAGTAAAGATGAAAAAGTGAATCCTTTTGAAAAATAAATTTTACAAAGACGTTCTTTAGATGACTCCAATTTATAGCCCCTTCAAAAGACTTAAAAAACTAAAAATCTTTCATACTTAATTGACATCAAAATGTTTCCTCTCATTTTCAAGTCTTCGAGAATGAAGAAAATAAATCATTTTTGTTTTCACGTCTGCCAAGTCTTAGTAATGAGTGCCTATTTTTGAGCGCTTGAAACACTTTTATTACCATTTTTAAATATTTTGAAGCCAATCAAGTTTTTAATCAAGTGTATCTCCAGCTTCTTGGGATTATTTATTCAACGCTTTCATAGATTTCTTGTTTATTATTATATTTAAATTTCAATTATTTAAGCAAAATAAACTAAAAATATTTCGATTATTAGAAAAAATAATAACACAACAAATCGGAGTATTTAATTATGTAACTTGATCAGCTTCAAAAATTAATTAGATGGAAAAAATCGTGCTTCAATCTCCCGAAGGATGCCGATTTTTGCATACAATTCAATTTTGTAGGTAACCAACTTCTTACATTATCAAGTATATCTCAATTTTTTGGAGTAATTCATTTTAGTGGATCACTTTTTGCTTGTAATTGTTTTTCTTTCCTTTGATATTTCGTAAATACACAAGGCACATATTTTTTTAAAAATTTTTTCCTCTGTACCGAAATTAACTTGCAATAATGGAAACAATGGCCTTTCTGCCACTTATTGCGTAAGACGCATTCTCTCATTGCACAACCCGCAATTTCCACGTACAACATTGAAGTAGCAAAATTTGCACAACCCACGATTTCCACGGGGAGGCATTTTTCCGTCTGTTTAACTGTGCAACCCACTCTTTTCCCGTTCATGGTTTCATTTCAGCTTTTCCCTAAAGTTTGTTTAGTCAGATCTGGGTTAACAAATGACTTTAGTTGTTCATATTCCTGCGAAATATACAAGCAAGTTGTGAAGCATTTTGCGGGCGAAAGTGTGCTACTCGTTGCTTAAAAAAAAATAGCAAAAATAAATTCGCAAAGAAACGAAAATTTGGTGTAAGCATATACAATAGATAAAACAGTAAGTTTTGTAAGTATTTTGCATATTTTAATTAATATATATGTTTTACCTTTGTATTTCATAAAATGAATCAGAATTTTACAAGGACAAATTTTCAAAATTCCGCTTTTGTTCGATTATTCAATTTAAATTTTCCGGCAATTCTATATTAAAGAAAATCTCTTACACAAAAAGTTGTGCATAAAATATAAAAAATATGATTCTGACTGAAAAAAACAAGAGGAGTGCAAATATGCCTGTCAAACTAAATGGATTTTTTAAAAAAAAATTAAAAATTCAGACCACCTAAATTCAATTTTTGATGATACGAAGGAGTCTGTAGTAATAATCATCAGACTGACCTCATTCCCCCCTTGAAATTTCTCCCTAAGGCGTAAGTTTTCTTTGATAAAGAACTACTGAAAGGCATTAAAAACGTATTTTAATAGCAATGCAATGACAATTAAGGAAAAAATTTCACTTTTTTTTAAAAATTAAACAAAGCTTTTTTCTTTTTTTAAAAAAATCTTCTTTTATTTACTTCAGAACTAACGAAATGCAGACTAAATTATTTGATGAATGATGATTTGTTTATTGAAATTAAAATTTGTTATCGAACAGTAAATTTTCCACTACTGACAATAAAAAGTATATGACCACGTTTTAATTTTCTATATCGGGGAAAAATTAACAATAAAGCGTAAAATGAAAAAGAAAACCCTATGCAAAAAAATAAATAAATAAAATAAAATAAAGTTATGCTAGAATGTCTCATATTCATCCCTATTTCTCCTTAATTCTTTAATTCAACACCATTAATTTTTATTAGTTTCTCCTTTTGATGTTTTTTTTCGGAATAATTGCATCTACAAAATATGTTATCAAAATATAAATAACAATTTGTAAATATTAATTTAGCAATCGAATTCAAGTACTGTTTCGAATTATTAAAATCAAAAAATTTTAAAATTGTTTTGTCCGTTTTTTAAAAAAACTTTATTATTTTTTTTAATTTTGGCATATTTTATAATTGATATGTATATATGTATAAGTGCCTTTATTAGCTCTAATAAAAATGTATTTTTTTCCATTCAAATTTGTTTATTATTATATTTGATATTAACACTAATCTACAATTTTTGAGATTTTTCATTCTTTTTTTTAAGATTTTCAGTTTGCTACACAAATGCCAATAATCTAAAATTATTACCACTCATTACTTTTTTTCGTTTGACAGTGATCTTCAAACAGCTTTTCTGTGTAAAAAATTATTTGTCACTGGTATAGAAAATAATAGTTTCTGTTATGGGTGTAACTCGTATACCTAGTAAATATCATGAATGAGCCATTTAAAAAAAAGTGTAAATGAAAAAGTATATATGAAAGGATATGAAAGTGCATATGTCTTTAAGTGTATATGAAAAAAAAAGTAATTCTTATAAATAAAATTAATACATTATAATGGGTCAAAATAATTATACTAATCAGCCATTTTGTCACTGGTTTGAAGAAATACAGAATTTCTTCTTATTTTTTTATTTTATTTTTATTTGTCTTAGAATATGAAATATCTTTTAGAAATGTCGTAAAGTTTTTAAGAGGAATCGTTTTAAATTATATATTTTTCTTTTAAAGATGACCCTGAATGCTTCCTATCTTACCAAATCAATATGGTATTTAAATTTATATCACCAATAGTTGATTTTGTGCATCATTACTATTTTTAACTTATAGGTGTTATATTCACTGTTATCAAGAATAGGTTGGTATTGTGGGGAGTGAGTTGTTATCGACAAAGTCAACCGTCATCTATGAATAGGTACCCCGACATAGAGTCGAGTTAAGATGTCTTATATACTTGTGAATTGTAGTTGTAATTTTGTAGTGGTAGATACGCTACAGTATTCCCCCACCATAATTATAGCTGTGATAGAATTCGATACATGAATACGATTAGTTGCTGTATTTGTGACAGACCGGGAGAGCTGGATTAAGGTCACCGGGTTTTGAACATTAGTCATGAGAGCTGTATTAAGATCATAGTCGTAGCCGCTCCTGTGTTGCCTTTAGCAGTCGGGTGTATGCATGCCGACGTTGTGCGTGATCGAGACGAGACTGAGTAGCAACAGTGCGAGGAGGTGGATAATGTCGCAGTCACAAGTAGCAAGTCAACTGTTCATTGTGGACCATCCATCGAAATAGGCCTGTTCAGATCGAAGTGGGCGTTACTGTAGAGATAGGCGTGTTCGTTTCGAAGTGGGCGTTACTGCCCAGGTAGGTGTGTTCACATCACGTCCAAAGGTCACCAATGTGGGGAGAGTAGTTATCGACCATGTCAACCATCATCTATGAAAAGGTACCCCTGTATAGTTTGGTATAAGTGGGATCTCAGTATTTGGCCCGAAGGGCCACCAACTGATTCGTCATATTCTGGTAGGTCGTAAAACTAGAAGTCCTATGTTCCTATAAGATATGAGATAAATGAAAAAAGTTATTCACAGCGGTGAGCCGTGACGTCAGGATATATAAAAAAATCCTGGTAGGAGTGTGTCCAAAATCAATTTTGGGTCTCTGGGAGTAAAGAACGAAGAAGCTTAATAAGCTCCTCATCATTGAAAAGTTCTTTCATCTCCTTGAAGAGCTGTAGAAATCTGGTGGCGTTGTCGGTAGCTTTCACGGGATGAGATTTCCTCGCTTTCCTGAGTCTTGCACCGCAGTCCGTAAAACAGGCTGGGTGCTCACCGTTGCAGTTGACGCAGGTGGCTGGGGTCGTCCTTGGCTTTGTACACTGGTACGAGAAATGTGCACCGGCGCATTTCATGCAGGCGGGATTGGATGCAGGGCAGTTTCGTTGCGTGTGTCCGAATTGTTGACAACGGTAGCACTGAATCTGGTATCTGCCTCCTCTGAAGCGTTCTACTCTCACAGGTTTTCCTAAGACTGAACTGATGTTGAAAATGTTTCTGGCGGTGCTGTTCTCCGATTGGAAAACAAGAAAAGTGGGAGGGGCCTAAGCTCCTGACCACTCCTCCTTTTGAGTTGAACCTCCTTTTGAGATCTTCTGCGGAAAAAGTCCAAAGTCTTTCAGGTATTTTTCCAATTCCTGAGAATCGGTATCGATATCTAATCCTCTGATGAGGGTCTTGAGCTTTTTACTCGATGAAGAGTCACTAGAAGTTGTAATTGGAGTGGGAGGGTCCACCGCCGCCGGGGCTTTGGTTTCTTCCTCTTTCTCCGCCGGTACTGGGGCCGCTGGGGTAGCGGGAGCTAACAGTGGATTCTGGCTACTGGTTTCGCCGTCCGATTCTGGGTCTACTTGCATCGCCGAGTTGACACAAGTTTTGCTTTTCTTTTTCTTTCTCTTCTTTTTCTTTTCGGTGCTGGCCGGAGTTTCTGAAATTTCCATTTCCGTTGAGCTAAGATGTTGTTCCTCAGTCTGGGGGCTGGGAGTCGGAACTGGGTCTGGAAAACGAATTTCCATTTGTTCTGCTGGAGTCTCAGGAGGCTCGGTCTGCTGGGGAGTTTCAATCTCTATAGGGTCAGTCTTTTCAGCTATTTCAGGCATAGTTGATTCCTTTGCATTCCATTCCTCCTTGATCTTCAGATAAGTTTCGAGCATACAGTTCATTCGAAAATGATTTTCGTAGCAATCTTCGTCTCCGGTTTTGTTATATTGCTGCAAGTAGTGATTCTGATTTGTGTTCGCAGATTTGATCAGGTCGTCTATGTTTTCAGGAGATGCTTTTCTTCCGGCATAACTGGAGCAGTCCTTTCTAATCTCGTCGTGATCTGGTATGGGAGGTGGCTTTCTACATATACGTTTGCCTCCGCTTCCAAATCTATGGTAGGAAGACATTTCAGTACTGGAGCTCAGTCATAAAACAACCTCACTCCTCGAAGTCTCAAGAGAGAATCTGCTGGTCCCCTGTATAGAGTCGAGTTAACATGTTTTATATACTAGTGAATTGTAGTTGTAATTTTGTAATGGTAGATACGCTACAGTATAAATGTTTCATTTATAAGAAAAAGTGCAGCATCCCAGAACCTCGCAACTTAGTTGACTAAGTAGGGTGATAGTCTACATAATAGCTAACATTGGCTACTTTTACTAAGATCATCTAATTAGGGAAGATAGGGCACATCATAAGGATAAAGAATTGCAGATGAACAACCATTACCGCACATTACTAGGCGCCTTTTATAAACTGTCTCTTTGTGTGCCTGTGAGCTGGTATTTTTCTAAATTGTCTTAATTTTATCGTAATTTAATGATTTGACGACTCACTGGACCCAAATTATAAAATGACGATAAAAGAACTATTTTATGAGCCTATTTGAAGGCAATTTTCGAAAATAATTAATCGAATTTAAATTAAGATATTTTAGATCAATAAAAGTTCAAAAGCATGTTATAGAGTAGGAAAGTGCCCCTAGATAACCGGGCATGGGTTCCTATGCTATCCTTATCATGTGTCCCAGTAAAGTTTGTCTCAACATTTACAGAATATCCTGTCTACCAGGAAAATTTCGCAAATATGATTAAGTGTTTATCCTATTCAAAGTACTTAATTTAGGACGTAAATTAATACTTTTAATAAGTAAATTGTATCGTAGCTTAACCAAGACCCGGAATTACTGAAGTCAAGTTTACAAATAGAATGTACAGATAACAATAAGAACGTACTATATACAATACATGAGCAGTAGTTTCTCCATTTGAATACTATTGTACCCACTTAGAAATATATATATAAACATAGTTACATATAGTGTCACATTTTAGGCGGTCTAATTTGTTTAAAATTAATTCATTTGATTTTGTATGATATAAAATAATACCTTCCAGGGTTTGAAAATTATAAATTAATATTAAGGGGAGATATGGAGCTATGTGTGTGTGTATATATATATACACTCTATAACAAAAAAATCGACGCACCAAGAAGCAATCATCCGATTGCTTTGAAATTTCGTATGCATGAATGTTTTCAACAGATATGGCTGGAATGATGCCGACTGGGGACATATAGTCTTTAGCGACGAATCCCGCTTTCAACTGTGTCCTGAGGCAGAGGAGGGATCCTGCCTTCACTATTGCACGCCACACCGGCCCTCAACAAGGCATTATGATCTGGGGTGCCATTTCCTTTGACAGCCGGACCCCTTTGGTCATCATTAGAGGTACACTTAATGCACAGCGGTACGTCGACGACATCCTAAGACCTGTTTTGCTACCGTTCCGTTTGCAGCGCCCTGGGCTGGTTTTTCAGCAGGACAATGCCAGACCACATACGGCACGTGTTGCTATGAACTGTCTGTAAGCTTGTCAAACTCTTCCTTGGCCTGCCAGATCACCAGATCTTTCTCCCATCGAGCATGCCTGGAATATGATGGGAAGGCGATTGCATCTGGCACGGAATGTGGATGACCTCGTTCGACAATTGGATCGAATCTGGCAGGAAATACTGCAAGAGACCATCCGGGAGCTTTATCGGGCTATGCCACGCCGTGTGGCAGCTTGTATCAAGGCTAGAGGTGGGTCAACACCTTATTGAACTTGTTTCTGCAACTCTGCAATAAATTATTCAATTATTCTGAAATTTTAATCATTTACTATTCTGTACATTGTCTTCCTATCCACCAATTTTCGATTCAAGCGGACAACTCCTTCTTGGTGCGTCGATTTTTTTGTTATAGAGTATATATATATATAAGCAAGTATATACAATATATACTTAGAAAAGGAAAAATTTCAAGCAAAGGAACATTTTATTTACTGTACAATAATGTAGAATAAATGAAAAAAGTTGTTTTTATTATATATAATTTTTAATACTGACCATGTCCGTGGTTCAAACTTCAGACCTTCGGGACTAGCCATTTGTGGCTCATTATCCCTTAATCCTACGATCACATGTGACCTTCCAGCTTATAACAAGCTTCATAGATAATTTCTGCAATTTTACAATGGAACTATATTGTGCCGCAGTGTAAACCCCCTAATTTGTCTATAATAATTTCCTTTGGTAAGGTACTATAGTAAGTTATAATATAGTAACTGGCCAAGTTCGAATTTTATAGATTAATATTAAAGGCAGCTATACGACCATGCATTTATATAGTATATGAGCATCATTTTCCCAATTTTCACGCTTTAAAACGCAAATAGAAATATTTGCATATACCACATTATGGGCCTCCAAATTTGTGTATAATTATTTCTTATGGTATGGTATAGTTCGATCACCAGGAGTTGACACTTAGCTCCACCTTCTCGGACGCAGAGTTCATTTCAGCGATGGGGGAGTAAGAGAATGATTTATTGAAATTACATACATTTGCTGACTTGTGTGCTCAATATAGGCTTATAAGTCATTGTCAAGTAGAAAATATAGATAGAACAATTCAGAGAAAGACATCACAAAGAATACATCCAGGGTTACGGCGGGATTCGAACCCGCTACCTCCACGCTTAACAGAGCGTTTGGACCGGCGATACCGCTCGGCCAGGGAGGCCCC